TTTTAAACCTGCATCCTATCCTTTTAGTTCCTGTTTTTAAACCTGCATCCTCAAGTTTGACCGTTAGGGTTATCTATATGGAACATCTTGTGGTAGCATTGTGCAGGACTTGAAATGCTACGTGCTGCTGGAGGGGTCTTGACATGGGGGTTGTATAAGGGAGCATCTTGCAGCTTCAGGGCCCAGGGGTTAGATTTCCTAATGTTGGGCCTGGGGCCTTGAAGTCCTTCATTCCCCCCTTTTCTTTATCCCGGATATAATCCTATATCCATTGATCTATCTGCTCAGAATTCAGCATTTGCTCAGTTGATGGCTCAGCGTGTTGTTGGAGTACTTGATATTGCTGTGCGAGGACCATAGTTTGGATTACGGACAGTCTTTCTTTCATAAATTGCATTAATTTGTTAAATATGCAGGGTCCAAATGTTAAAATTAACAGTAATATAATCAAGGGGCCAGCTACAGTAGATAATATAGTAGTTAGCCAAGGGGATTTATTATACCAGCTTTCAAACCAACTTTGGGAGCCTCACAGGGATTTTTCCCTTGCATCCAGTCTTTCTCTAAGCTTTGTCATAGACTCCCTTACTACCCCTGTGTGATCTGTGTAAAAGCAACAGTTTTCCTTTAAGGCCGCACAAAGTCCTCCTTCCTTCAAGAATAATAGGTCCAGACCTCGTCTATTCTGCAAAACAACCTCTGATAAGGAGGTTAGGGATTTTTCTAAAGCAGTTACAGAGGTTTCTATTGCTCTTAGGTCTTGTTGGATTGCAGTCTCCAGAATCCCTAGCTGTCGAGGGCCCTCAATCAGAGCTGCAGCCCCAGTCCCAACCCCTGCCAATACTCTTGCTCCTAACAAGACTGCCAGGGTAATGCTGATAGGCTCTCGGGTGAATCGAGTCCTGCTCATGAAATGTCCCTCAAATTCTTCTGTGGAATAATAGAGTAGCCGTGGATAGATCTGGACTAACACACAAAAATCTTTAGACTGGTTGAAATTGGCTATCGCAACACAGGGTGTAATCCCAGTGTTACATGCCCAGTAGAGTCCTGTTGGAGGCACTAAGTAGCTGGATGTGTCAGAGGATGACACGGTTGCAGTACGTGCACAGAGCTCTTTTAACATAGAGGAGCCTCCTATGCATGTTCCTGAACCGGTTACTTCAGGCAGTGTCAACCTGTGTCTTGTTTCCCAGTTGCAGCTGGTGGAGGTGCCATAGGTGAAATTCCCATTAATAGCTACTCCTTCATAGTGGGGGGGGGGGGCTTGCCTGGAGGCAAATCCAGCAGGACTCAGTGAGATTGGGCTGGGTGGAATTGAGGGCTTGGTATCCCCCTTCAACTAGGTCCATTAGTCTTTCTCCTGACCCTGGTAAAGTAGGATTAGTGACAACTGCCACGGTCGGAGGAGTGGAGGGGGTTGGACGGATGGTATTAGATGGGGACGTTGGTCTTGAGGGTGCCTGTTTATATTTTTTTTGGAGGAGGAGCCTTTTGGTCTTGGAGTATCTTGTTAGGGCCTATCGGCTGGGGGTCAACTTTTATAGTTAACCTGATTTTGAATAGGACCCCCGGGTCATATGCAGTCTGATGATATACCCGTAGTCCCCATAGCTTCCCTTGTAACCAATCTTTTGATGTTCTGCCTGCCTTAGTAAAGGTAATGTTTAAGGGGTTGCAGGCAAACATGGTGCATGGCCCGTCCCCATACCATAAGGTGTTGACTGTCCCAGGTGTACTTTTACAATAGTCTGTAGAGAGTGGGGGCTCATTTTGCTTTTCTCTTTTCACTTGGATCAAATCCCTGGATGAGCTAGGGTTCCAGTATGCATCCCCCGTAGTTTCACATCCCCAAGCCTTACAATAATAACTTTCATGTTGCCCACATTTACGTGCTTGCGACTTAGTTCTCCCGTCCCTGGGGCATACATAGAATGATTTTTTTTTTTTCTTAGAGCTGCCCGAGCCCTTGGGTCCCTACATCCTGCCGGATAGCGTGAGCAAGGGCAGCCCCCGCTGGAGATGCACACTTCTGGCCCACTCGGTTTAGCTGGGTCAGTAGTTGGAATATCAAAGTCTTCTGACCCGGCCAGTATGTGACAAAGATCTGGCTCCAGGTTAGGCCACCAAGCCCAGAGGGGGTACTTTGTGGATGTTTTTTTCCCAAATTATGCCTCCCGCCCCCGATAGTATTTGCCATGTCTGGCGTATAGGCCGATTGGGATCATAGAGTTGGTGCCTAGCAACTGATATGGGGAAGATAGAGCACAGAGCAAGAAAAATCAACAGCGGGTAAGTCTTATCTTTAGCGGGTTCTGGGTGCGTTGCAATTTCCATTCAGGCTCTGGGGTGGCGTCTGTGGGCTCCTGTGGATGTGCAGCTTTCACGTGGGAGGCGTGGATCCAAGCGGTGATGCCGTCCACTTTGATTGCAGTGGGAGTGGTCAGCAGAATGGTGTAGGGTCCTTTCCACCGCGGTTCGAGGTTCTTGCTCTGGTGCCTGCGTACCCAGACGGTGTCTCCGACCTTGAAGGGATGTGGCAGCAAGGGGGTTTTAAGTTCCTCTTTGTATGCTGCTGCTAGAGGCTTCCAGACCTCGTTCTGGACCAATTGCAAAGCATGCAAATGAGTCTGCATAGATGGGGTGAGGGAGGCATAGGTTTCAGTTTCATAAAAGTTAACAGCGGGAGGTGGGGCACCGTACAGGATTTCAAATGGGGTTAGTCCATGTGGGCCTGGGGTGTTTCAGGCCCGATACAAGGCTAAAGGTAGGAGTTGTACCCAGTCTCTAGTGCCAGTTTCAAGTGTCAATTTAGTTAAAGTCTCCTTAATGGTTCTATTCATCCTTTCTACCTGTCCTGAACTTTGGGGTCTATAAGCACAGTGTAATTTCCAATTAATCCCCAATGTATTGGCCACCGCCTGACTTACCTGGGAGACGAAGGCAGGCCCATTAAATGTTTCCTTTCTGGTCCTCACTATCAGGATCAAAGGGAGTAAACCTCCGATAAGCCTCTTTTAATCTCTTTAAGAAGGCTGTCGGAGTTTCCTCTGACCCCTGGATAGTCTGTCTTACCTGAGCCAAATTGGTGGGCCGTCGCCCTGCTCCATGGAGACCCGCTATGAGTAACTGGCGATAGAGACGTAGGTGGTTCCTACCTGCTTCAGTCGCATAGTCCCAGTTTGGCCGGGTTAAAGGAAAAGCTTCCTTAATCAAATTTGTGAGTTGGGTGGGGCGCCCGTCGTCCCCTGGCACATTTTTTTTTTTTTTTTTTTTGCGAGCTTCCAAGAGAACCTTTTGTTTCTCCTCTGTGTCTAATAGAGAAATCTTTAATTCTGCTACTTAGGGCTGGATAACCATATTAGCAAACATCAAGTCTACCTGCGTTGGCTAGAAATAAAAGCCTTAGACTAAAACTACTCTAGCAGTCCCTTTAACAGTTATCAGGCATTTCTGTCTAAGAATCTCTCTTGTAGCCTCCAGTCTACTTATTTATGGAAGTTACATTTAACTATTATTATTATTTAAGATGTCCAGGAACAGCTGTGCTTTGGCTTTTACTGTCTTTGCTAAGTGTTTAAGATGAAGCAAGTCAAACTGACTTTTGTTTCTACCTATTGTTTACAGTCAGCTGAGTTATCCTGGGAGTCCTCGGGAACTTCATAGCAGCTTTTCAGTTCTGCTAGTGCCATTTGCGCTAGGATGGGCCCAGGCCTTGCTTGACCATGTAGCTTCCCTCAGAAGCATCAGGGACGTCTCCCTTTTTTAATGACCCTCCTCTTTACAGCAAATGCACCGATTGGCTTTCTGTCCTCCACTGGTCTCATTAATCTCCCTGCTCAGGAGGTTATGTGGCCTAGAGTTGCTGAGCCCTTTGGAGAAGTCCCCTATTCCCTGATTCAGACTGACTCAGAGGGCAAGAGCCGAATATTGGTTTTCTTGGCCCTTTTAATTTAACTAATTTTAAAACTTGATCTTAAACATCCAGCAACTAAGTTAACAGCCTTATATTAAGAGCACTGGGCTTTAATGTTTATCTCTCTATCCTGTAGGTGATAACTCCTTATCTTATGTTGGCCCAGGTTGTGTTCTTAAAGCAATACCTCTTTAAAACATTAACAGGCAATCCTTAAACCATCTATAAGTAAACTACAAAACAAAACTAACTAGGGTAGAAACATATTTAGCTTATATAATAGCTACCTTGAATTCTAGCAGGGTTATACATCATAATTTTCTGTTTGAGATCCTAGTAATCTTGGCACAAACCTATTTTTGGACACAACTTTAACTGTACTGAAATCTTGCTTACTTTTTTTATAGCCACTTTCACATGTAGTGAGATGGGACAGAGCCTTATCTCAAGTAAGGCAGGGCTCTTTATAAATCTCAAGTACTATAGTTCTGAAGCTGATCGTTTTACAAAGTTTACATAAATTGTTGTTCAAGTTTACATGAACATTAGCTAACACAACATAATATCATACCTAAAACATGAATTAAAGGCTGAAAGCTTTTAACCTTTTATAGAAAAGTAGTAATGTACTTTTGTGTTTTGCAATAAAACCTTTACATAGATTAGGCTCTCATTAACTTAAAAATACATAAATTGTATCTCAGAGTAGAAAGTAACATGGAACTGTACATATCTTATTGATAACGAGTTCAGTTATAGAACACAAATGACATAATTGAATCTCTAACATGCTTTTTTTTTTTTTTAACCTAAAATTACCATACAACTTTAGAACACCAGCTTGATATAATGTTCTTTCGAAGCTTCTACCTTACAGACTTGTATACCTGGAAGATATGAACACATTAATAACACCATAATTATATAAACCTCTTTTTGTTCACATTTTGAAACAATACTTGTAAACTTTTAAATTTAAGCAGAGTTAACATTTTATTAGGGCCTTTTTGAACACCTAGAGAAACTTATAAGCTTAATTTTGAGGACAGGAACTGCTATTTTGAGCAGACACTTTAGGCCTAAGGCATTTTAACCTTAAGTTATATTTCCAGGTTTAGATGTTGAAAATTATGATACAAATTTAAGAAGCAATTTTTAAAATTTAAAATTTTATATCTTTTTACATTAGAAAAACTTGTTCACATAAAACTGGAAATAGGATCTCTACCATCAGAAGAAATTTCTTTGGTACCTCTAAACCACTTTGCTTGTTCTGAAGTTTCTAAAGTAGCATTGAGTTACATTAAATTTGCCCACACACTACCATATATATCTGAAATTAAGCTTTGAAAATTTCTAAGACTATTGCTATTTAATTATCTGATGTCATTTTTATGAGCCAGACCAACGTTTTAATTGCTCTTCAGGCTACCCAGTTCAAAATTGAAATTCTTTAATTTTTTTTTTTTATCCCAAGTATTTAAGTTTTCTAGCATGAACTATCTGAAATCAAACTAAACAATTGCTTAAACCCAACTTTTAACTGCAAGATAGTGTAATGCTTTAGAAACCCATTCAGATACCAGATTGTTACAATAAAAATTATTATTATTATTATTATTATTATTTTTTTTTAGACACACATTTAACCTAGATTATCTTTAAGAAACAATCAGACAACCAGATAAGAAAATATCTCTCCAGGTTTTGAACTTTCATTTAATTATGACTCCTATCAGTGGCACCATAGACTTTCCCATGAGTGGACCAGATGTTTTCACGTAGGGGCAACTATAGGTGTAAAATCAAGGGTCTCAGCGTGACTGGCTTTACTGCATTCAGTGTCCCTTCTTTTTAAGTAAACAGAGGTGGCGTAATCCTTAAGATGTAGATAAGGACCCAGGGAACTCCCCAGAGCTAAATGGCTCTGGCAGCTGCTGGGAGTCCCTTAATCTTATCTTTCACCCATAGGATCAGTTCCTCCAGTTTGGTTTGACCTTAGGCATTAGGCATTTTTTTTTTTTTTCCTAACTTTTTAGTAGCCAGCTCCCAAAAAGTCCATCCTCTGCTTGCAGTTGTTTCGAGTGCTAGGCTTCCCCAAGAAAGCAGAGTGGGAACTCCTTAAAAGTCCCCTTGAGAGTGTCAAAATTTGTGACTGAAAATTTGGTTCCCATCTCTAAAGCCAATTAACACTAATTTAATAATGAGGACAGGGCTTTGAGAAAAGTCAAAGCGAGATGTCAAAGTTGTTAAATCCCCAGCAGGCATCTCTATTTGCACTCAAGCCGGTTATGGGGGGGGAAAGAAAACATTGCTTCCCTAGTCTCAGTATTCAGCCTTAGATGGAATTTATCATCCGCCTTGGGCTGCATTTCCAAGCAGCCCGACTCCAGGAAGACCCGTTCGCTTTCTGGGGTGGAGGGGCCGGGAGGAACAGGGACGGGACAGATCCGCCGCGGACCCCACCCATGCAGGAGGAGATTCGCAGAGGTCCTGAAAGGTTAAAAGCCATGATCTGGATGGCCATGCGGCCCCGGCTGAAAGACAATCTCTGACTTTGCAGATTAGAGAGAGAGATGGAGGGACTCTCCTGGGGGCCATTCAACTCCGAGGGTGGGCCAATATTGGCCACTCCGTGGTACAGAGTGTTACCAATTTTTTTCTTCTTAACTGCCACGGACAAGTTGTTTGCCCGCTCTTGAATGTCTTGCCAATGATCTAGAGTGAGGCTCAAAGGGGTTGTTAGTGATTGTCCCATGTTATTCTCAGAGAGGAAATAGAGAGACAGACACAACGACACAAAAAACGAAACCAAACAGTGAGATCGCTGCGCGGCTTCGGTGGAAACCGAAAAAATCAGATGGCCTGGGAGAAGTTTGTACTTCTCCGTAGCCTACAAAGATGGTGTAATCCTCGGAAACACCGGGGGCCCCAAAGAAATGGACCCCTCTGATCCCTGGGACGTCTCCCAGGGTGGCAGGGGAGAAGTCCGAGTTCGTCAACTCCTTCTCAAACTGCCTCAGAATACAAATCGACCTCAGAACTGCCTCAGAATACTAAATGACTATGCCTAGGATCATATAGTCTTACAGACGCTGCGCGGAACAAAGAACAGATAGCCAACAGGACAACAAGACAGAAAGTTTGAGCTGGCCAGCTTACCTCCCAGTGATGTCGGGAGTTCCTCGGGCAGGGATCCGGATGGGGTTACAGGAGTTCTCCTGGCTGGCTCGCCAAATGAAAGACCCGCCGATTCCCTGTCCAAGAAAGACGCACGAGGCACTGGCTGCAAAAGCAAGAGGCGATTTATTGATACACAGGCGCCTGCGGGTGCTCAGTGAAACCTCAGCCGGAGCTTCGGTGAACTGGCACACCGGGCTTTGGGGCACAGATCTTTTATAGGGAATAAGTGGGTTAGTTCTTAGCATAGCACAGCGACAGTCTTCCTGTTGGACCTTCTGAATCCAGTCAGTGGGTCACCTAGGGGGTAAACTTGTTTTTCAACTTATTGTTCTTGGGAAAACCATAGAATGGCATCCTGTCTTTTTAATTCCTATTTTAAACCTGCATCCTATCCTTTTAGTTCCTGTTTTTAAACCTGCATCCT